ACAATTGTATACTAATTTGAAGTGATTTTTTTCTAGAAGATGATGAAAACAAAACACTTTTATTTAATGCAAAAATGCATAAAAATTCACATATGTTAGAAAAATAATAGGGTTTAAATCTTCTGAAACAGATGAGACTTCAGCTGAAATTTTAAGTGTTGATAAAGCTTTGGTGCATAGAGGAAAGGAAAACATTTTTGGAGAGAAGAAGGCATAAGAAAAGAGAAGAGTGGAAAACTAATTTTGGGACAATGAAGACATGAATTTATTACTAGTACACAGTAGTATATTTGCAGGAGCAATAAAAATACAGTTAGATTGATAAGATGGTAGCAGATTATTAAGTGCCTCATCAGCCAGTCAAAAGTTAGGTTTAGTAAGATTGATAATAATCTATGAAAGGTTTCAGACAGGGAAGGCAACGCACTGTAATTATTGGAACATGAGCATCAGACAGCTCTGTAGCTTAAATTACTTTGGGCTATTTATAAACTCAGTTGGTCTGTGGTTCAATTTTCTTCTCCATTTTTAAAACTACAGATAATAGAAACAACCCTTATGTAATGGGATTTCTAGAATTCAGTGTGATAAAGTAATTAGCAAAGTACTTGGAGTTTAGTAAAAGTTTAATGAATTATGTTTGCAGTGATTCAGGTAAGTTAATTTTTCAGTAACAATTGAGAGAAAATAATTTTTTAACAGATTATAGGACTTGAAACCAAATTAAAAAATCATCATTTAGGTGGTTTTGATGGACTGTTTATAGACTTTCGATGAACATGAGCAGAAAGGAAATAAATTGTATTTTTAAAAAATTGATACGATAAAATGAAGGTGAGAATGAATGATAGATAACAGAGATGAGTAAAGTAATAGCATCATTTAAAGTTCATATTGAGTAGCATTTGTACACACATAGGGATTCTGCAAGTGGATTTGAAGTTAGGTGGAGAAGAACGTGACTAAGAATAATACATGCGGTTTTAGAAATTGGGAGCATGAATGTGGGTTGGGAACCCCTGAATGGAATCGTGAACATTCCTGGAGTAACGCACAATCAGTACATATTTAAAGACTGTCATTAGCTTTTATTGCCTTACCTCATCGTTTTTAGTTCCATCTGTAAGAAGCTGTGAAATCTGAGGGTCCTTCTCTCCCTCACCAACAAATCTATGTATTTTCCTGCATTTGTATCCTCCTGTACTGTAACAGTAGAGCAAGGATCTCCCTTCCTTAATTCCTTAAACTTTCACTTAAGTTCAAATTCAATTCCCTCTCACATCCTGATGAATTTCTTCTTTTGATTATCCCCTCGTTTCCCTGTATTATTAAGCTTAACTGTCCCACTGAAGCACTGCAGATCAAATAACAGTTGAGAACGCTGCATTCTTGCTGTAATATTTCCTCTTAAAACTCAGAGCTTACATCACTATTTCATTCCAGAATTTACAGTGACAGTGTATCGTTCCACATAAGAAGAGGTTATTGAGTTAGAGTCAGCGTTCTCAGCGTCATCCCTCTCATAGGGATGAAAGCAGAATCTGTGCTCAGGTGTCCTTGAATAATGTGTGTTTGCTGTCATCTTTCCAGTAGCCCCTAAAGCCTGGCTTCCTAAACTTCTGTCTCACAAATAAAAGCAAACTTCCTTTAAACCCTTGGCACCCTCCAGCATCAATCAGTAGTTGTTGTGTACTTGATTTAGTGATCAAACTTCACAAAATTGTTTACAGCATCTACGCTTTACTCCAATTTAGTTGTTCTTCTCTTCTACTTCTTGGAAACCGCTCTTCTCAGTACTACCCACTGGTCTGCATGGTATAAAATCCAGTGAGAGGATTTTGTTCTCTATTTACTCAACTTTCCAGGAAAGTAAAAGTTTTACTACACCTCTTTGTATCACACCAATGCTCTCCTGGTTTACTTGCCCTGCACCCTGCTCCTTCCACAATGTTGGTCATAAATTTGAAGATACAGTATATTATTTTTAACTTTAGTCACCATGCTATACATCAGGTCTCTAGGACTTACTCATATCATATAGTTGTGAGTTTAAACCCTTTAACCACCTCTCTCCATTTTTCCCACTTCCTAACCACTAGTAACCCCTCTTTTAATCTATATTTGATCTTTATAGATTCTGCATATAAGTAAGGTCATGCAATATTTGTCATTTTATGTTCGTCTTATTTCTTTAGCATATCATCATTCATGTTTATCCATGTTGTTGCAAATGGCAAGATTTCCTTTTTAAAGTCTGAGGAGTATACGAGTATATGAGTATATTTAAAGTGAGATATTTGGGAGTGCATATATAAATGGATATATATGTATATACTGATATATCAGTATATATAAGTATCAGTGTATATAATACATATGTGTGTGTGTGTATGTGTGTGTGTGTGTGTTTTGTGGTACTGGGCATTAAACCTAGGGCCTTCACAATGGGCTACATCCTCAGGCCTTACTTTATTTTTTATTTTGAGGTAGAGTCTTACTGCATCATTAATTTTCACAGGCTAGGCTCAAACTTGTAATCCTCGTGCCTCCACCTCTTGAGTAGCTGGGAATATAGATATGGCCCACCATGGCTATATCGCAGTTTCTTATCCATTCATCTATTGACAAACACAGGTTTCTGTTGTTTGGCTTTTGTGAATAATGCAGCAGTGAACATGATTTCAGGTATCTCTTCAGGATCTTAGTTTCATTTCCCTGTGTGTATACCCAGAAATGTGGTTGGAGTTCCATTTTTATTTTCTTGAAAAATCTCCATACTGTTAATCCATAATGACTATCCCAATTTACTTTTTTCCCAAGAATCTATAAAGGTGCCTGTTGTACACAGCCTTGTGAAAACTTATCTTTTGACTTTTTGATGATAGCATCTTATGACAAATGTGAGAATACTGTAGTGTGGTTTTGATTTACAGTTGTCTAATGATGAGTGATGGTGAACATCTTTTTATACCCTTTGCCCATTTTTAATCTTTCTTACAGTAGTAAGTTGTTGGATATTAAACTCTTATTAGATATAG